ACAAGGCAAAAACATACATTATGCACACATTAAAAATTTTTTTAATTAAAAAAATTGTTTTTAAATGGAAAAAGATGCTATAATGAATTGGAAAGCTAAAAAGGAGGTAAAACTACATACAAATCAAGATGAATAACTGGACAGGGTGCTAGTGGCTCACTAATCCTAGCTCCTTGGAGGCTGATATCTTAGGATCAAGGTTCAAAGCCAGCCTGGGGAAGGAAAATCCTGAGATTCCAATAAACTTCCAAAAAACAGTAGAGCACTAGCCTTGAGCAAAAAAAGCTCAGGGATAGTGCCCAGGCTCTGATGTGAGGCCCTAGGACCAGCACATACATGCACACACATATAAAAAAGATAAATGGCTTGGTACAGTAGTGGTTCATGTCTGCAATCCCAGCACTCCAAAAACAGGCAGGAGAAACTTGAGTTCAAGACCAGGCAAGACCTATCTCAAAACACACACACACACACACACACACACACACACACACACACACACACAACACACACACACACACACACACACACACACACACACACACACACACACACACACACACACACACCAAAGTAAAATATAGTAACAATAAAAAGTGAGCAATGGATTTGGGTGGCCCTTTTTTTTTTTTTTTTTTGCCAGTCCTGGGGCTTGAACTCTGGGCCTGGGTGCCATCTGTGAACTTCTCTTACTCAAGGTTAGCACTCTACCACTTGAGCCACTATACCATTTCTGGCTTTTTTGAGTAGTTTATTGGAGACAAGAGTATCATGGACTTTTCTGCCCAGGCTAGCTTCAAACCACGAGCTAGGATTACAGGCATGAGCTGGCTGGGCAGGCAATTTTTAAAAGAGAAACTCTAAATAATCAATAAGTAATAAAGTCATGAAGAGATATGCAAGTATGCAAAATAAAACAATAAAATGTCATTTCCTATCCTGTACATTGGCCATGATTTTAAATCTTAATTATATTCACAGCCCTCAAGGACTCAGGTAAATGAGTTTCACTGAGGTGAGCATAAATGACCAGAATATTTGTAATCCTAGTTACTCAGGAGGCTGAGATCTGAGAATAGCAGTTCAAAGCCAGCCCAGGCATGGTGGAAAGTCCATGAGACTCTTATTTCTCATTAACCACCAGAAAATTGGAAGTGGTGCTGAGGCTTAAGTGGTTGAGAGCTTGTTTTGAGCTGAAGAGCTCAGGGACAGTGCCCAGGCCCAGCGTTCAAGCCCTACGACCAAAAAAAAAAAAAAAAAAAAAGACTTTGGCAATGTCTCTCTTGAAATTTAAAACACAGAACCTCACTTTTGGAAACCCAGCCACAGATGAAAAGCTCTGGCTGGCAGGTTCCAGATGCAAAGACATTTAGTATTGCTCACGGTGGGAAAAGTTGGAGCCAACCAGAATGTCAGTCCTCAGGTGAATAATGAAATCACTATTCACTATGCTATGGGGTTTTATTCAGCCATTAAAACAAATGAAAGGAAATCTATATCTAGTGGCCTGGAGAGATGCCCACGATACTCTTTTAAAAACAACAACAGAAAATTGCAGGAGTCAGGCGTAAGAGCCTATCTATTTTTTTGTCATTAAACAAAAGCAAAATGAAAAATGTAAATACCTCCATTAAGTTTATGTTTGTGGGAACGGTGTGAAAGGGATTTCATATGTGGCTGAATTGTTTAACTTGTAATCTCATGTAAGTAAAACTTAACTGACTGAGCCATGGCTTAAGTGGTAGAGGGCTTGCCTAGCAGGCTTGAGGCTGATGAATTCAATCTCCAGTATCTCAAGAAAATAAATTAACAAAGAAAATTTAAAGTAGGAAGCAAAGGAGCCCAACTTCTGAAACATTAATACATTCACTTGATTGCTCTGTCGATTGGAAAGCTTTATGGCTTGTAGCTATTTATTACTGTTCTTTTTTCAACAGGGCATGGAGGGGGCTAGGATAAGGGGTACAAGAACTGGGGTGCAGGGAGAGAAGAGTAGGCTAAGAGTGCAAGCTGGTGCTAGGCTCAGCTCTGTGCCCATGGGAGGGACTGCAGGGCAGCAGGAAGGTGCTGGCCAAGAGTCCTCAGAGGCAAGGGGCAGGAAGGAGAGCCACCTCATGAGAGCAGGTGGTTTAGTAACAGCCTTCAGGTACTTCCTGGGTGGTCTAGCAGATCCTGGGTCTAAACCCAACCAAAACCCTTCCATTCACAGGCTTCTTTCTAATCCCTAGGAGCCCTTGAGTGGATCAGTCATTTGTCCAGTAGCTGATAAGCATCTAGGCTGAGTTGTCCCCCTGTTGTATCCAGAGGATGGTCAAGTCTAAGACACAAATAGCCATGCTCACATGGGGCTTCCAGAATTGTGAGGTGGGGGGTGAGGGGGAGGTATGCCAGGCTGCCTCTAAATACAGATCACTCTGTTCTCATCTGAGCTTAGCCTGGGCTAGATCAACTGCACTGTCTGGACACTAAGGACAATTTTGTCTGCCCAGTCTCCCACAGGCCTTGGGGATACACTGCTTTTAGTACATGGCCAGACTTAGGGCAGAGGAGAACCAGCCTCAACCAGAAAGCACAAACCCTAGCCAGGCATGGTGTACAGATTGTAATCTTAGCACTTAGGAGGCTGAGGCAGGAAGATATTGAGTTTGAGGACAACCTGGGCTATATAGCAAGACTTTGTCTTGGGGGGAAAAAAAAAGGCTGAAGATGTTTTCAGTGGTTAGAGCACCTGCCTAGCATGTACAAGGTCCTAACCTTGATTTCCAGCATTGCAAGATTAGAAAGACAGAAGAAAGAAGAGACCTGGCTCTGGCACAGGTGGACCAAGAAGAGCACAGAAACTACCTGGAAGTAGGCTTGGGCAATTCTGGAGTAGCTGGAGTAGTCTTTCTATGGCTCTCCACTCCCCCTCCCAGACTCACGTGGCACTGTGGCATCTTGGGTGGTAAATCTGCATTCCTCCCTGTCTCCTCTGCCTTAGCCATCAGTTCTCCCTCCTTCCATCCAATTCAGTCCTGCCCACCCCCGCCAACTCCTCTGTGTGGGTGCAGATGCCCCTGTGCAGCCACAACCAGCCTGGCTGCCAACCCACCCTGTCACACTGCCTGTGGGTTGGCATGTGTCAGGTCATCTGGGAATCACAAGGCTTCCACAGGCCTGGCACAGAGAAGCATAGGGACTTGGTCCTGAAGCTTAACGGGAGAACAAATGCTCATGGATGAGCCTTCACACTGACCGGCCCAGCCTTGGTGCAAACTCAGTTCATGCAACATGCCAGTTCCAACAAGTGTGTGGGGCCACTGGCTCCTTCACTCATGTAATTAAAAGGTCATCTGTGTGTGTATGTGGCTGAGGAAGCATGGGCTTGCCTTCTACTGGGAGCATACGTGTATGTGTGTGTGTATGTGTTGAGTATGCATGAACATGAGCATCTGGATCTATGGGAGCATGTATGAACATGTGTTTGTGCATGTGTGAGTATATCATCTCTCTCTCTATATATGTCTCTGTGAGTGTGTGTAAAGATAGATTCATGTTTGTATCTATGAGTATGAACGACCATGTGTGTATCTATGAGTGTGTGTGTGCGTGTGTGTGTGTGTGAATCTGTGCAGACAGGGTAGTGAAGGTGATGACCCCTGCGCTGGGCACTTAGGGCACAGCTTTTCCTTTTCAACTGGCTCAAAGCAACATTTCTGCGAGTGCCACTGCCTTTTGTCCCTGCCCTTCCCTCTGTCTATCTGTCCAAGGGACAAGGATAAGCCCTCATGGTTGGTGGGAGGGAGTGCAGGCTTTGAGGATGGAGAAGAGACAGGATGGAAGATGGCTGCTTCTCAGAGCTGGCCAGCCATGGAGGGCTCAGGACAATGTCTGAGCAGGCTGCTCCTTCGGTCTTCCACAGGGACGCCCCCTGCAGTCTGCCCTGCGATCCTCACAAATGCTCGTCTGCAGTAAGTCAGGGAAGGTGAACCTTGGCTGTCAAAAATGCAAAAACAATCAGGAAGGACAGGCTGCTGGGCCAACACCTGGAGAGGGCACACTCGCCGCATGGCAAGCCACAACTCCATCAGGAAGGGCCTTCAAGGGTTTACTGACAACCTTCAAATGTTGACTATAAACAAAAGTTAGTCTTGTAGTAAGAAAGAAAACAGCTCAAATGATATAAAAACAGCCAGACATCAGACATCACCTAAGATGTTGGAAAGCTCTTAAGAAACAGCTGACTGGGCTTATCATCTGGGTACCAACCTCCATATAAGCTATTGTGTCTAGTTAGTACCTCCTGGAGCCCCCTCCACCTCTGGTCTCCCTTAGGACCCTAAGGCTGAAGCCTTAGGCCAAAGCATGAGCACCTCTGAGCAGGAGGACAAAGGCCTGCCTTTAGACCCCAGCTCTGCTACGCATTCACCAAGCCATATCCTCCTCCTCTCTGGGCTTTAGGTTACGCATCTGTAAAATGGGGCTATTAAACACTGGTCCCATCTACCTGTCTACCTCTGAGCCTGCTGTACATCCAGGAACTTCAAAAAACATAGATATGGACACACTGGGAGAGCTGGGAGAGAGGCCTCTATTCCACCAGGGACCATCACAGTGGGCCACCTTCCCTCTGTGCAGCCATTACAGACACCAAGGGTGCTGAACACAAAGGCTCCCTGCTTGTAGGGACCAGGCAGGGTCAAGAATCATCTCTTTCTGAGACACAAAACAAGCAAAGGGGAGAGGTGACATAGACCTGCCTGGGAAGGATGTTTGTAGACCTCGAAAACATGTCACGGATATGCCATGCCATTCCATAGGGCAGCTGAAGATGTTCACACCCCCAAATTAATGCTTGTTTGGGAAACTGCCCGCCCCCCAAGGAAGAAGTGCTGAGTTGGGAGGGACAAAGCCCAACCTGAGCCCTCTGGCTGGTGTGGTGGGTACTAATCTGGCACCCACATTGCCTCACTGGAAGAAGGCCTGAACATCAAGGACCATTTGAGGTACAAGAGTCTTACCTCTCCCTCGAGCCCATGTGTAGATGCGGCTGACCTCAGGGCTTCGGGGCTTGGGCTCTGGAGGCTCCACAGGCAAAGGTCGGAAGTGGGGGTCATCTGCTCGTCCAGGTGTCTTCAGGGGCAAGATATACTTGGGGAGCCCTTTGTAGAACCAGGCCCCCGACCTTTTCCAGACCTGGGAGTGGGAGAGGTATGTGCTTAGAGCACAAGGTGATTCATTCCAGCTGTCCTAGCATGGGGTACTAGGCAGTTCATACCCCCCCTTCCCCGCCTCAACATCCTGTCCCGCCTACCAGTGATGGGGACTGGAGGACCAAGAACTAGGACAGTACAAAGGGAATCCCAGCTCTGCCCTCCCTGGTCTATGAACTGGGGCAGACCCAGGACAAGAGACAACCAATGCACAATCTCTCTACGCCAAAAGCCAAGCCCACATTCTCTCACTACCATTGCAAAATAGGCACCAGAGAAGGCTTATGACATCTGTCACCTGGTGCTAGTGGCTCATGCCTGTAATTTTAACTATCCAGAAGGCTACAATCTGAGGATTATGGTTCAAAGCCAGTCTGGGCAGGAGAGTCCATAAGACTTATCTTCAATTAACTACCAAAAAGCCAGAAACGGAGCTGTGGCTCAAGTGGTAGAGTGCTAGTCTTGAGAGAGAGTGTTCCTTGAAAAGAAAGGGTTCAAGCCCAGTAGTGTCACACACGAGGAAGGAGGAGAAGGAGAGGGAGGAGAAGGAGGAGAAGGAAGAGGAGGAGAAGAAGGAGGAGGAGGAGAAGGAGAAGGAGAAAGAGAAGAGGAGGAGGAGGGGGAGGAGGAGGAGGGGGAACAGCAGTAGCAACAACAACTGTCTATTGCTTTCATCTCTCTAGCTCTCAGATTCCTGCAGATGACCCAGTCAGCACCCTGCCTGGTTCAATCCTTTCCCGCCTCTGCTGGGAGACAGGCAGGTGCCCAGAGGCCTATGAACGTAAAACACTTGCTGGACTCCTGCCACCAACTGCTCCACCTGAGCTTTCTCTCCCTAAGGTGAGGCTGAGTCTCACAGGACGTTCCCAGCCGCAAGAGGCCACAGGTGGCTCATCCATCACTTACCAGTCCCTGAGCCACCTCAGTGCCATGCTCAGGCCCTGGCTTCTCAGGGAGAATATAGCTCCCTCTGGCTCGTGTATGTCACTGCCCTTCATGACAGGGGTTCAGAAGTAGCCATAAAACCCCAGGTTTTATCTGCCTGTCCCCAGGGCACAGGCACCAACATCTCCCTCTTTTCTGCCTTAGGATCTGAGTTTCCCAAGAACCCCCTCTGGTGACATTCAGAACCAGAGGAAGCAGATGATGCTGACCGGATCCCAAGCAGCATGCTTGCTCTGTGGCTCTGGATGAGTAACTTAACCTCTTTGAGCCTGAGTTTCTTCACTGATGGAATGTATTAACAGTGCTTGCCCAAAAGGGCTGTTGAGAAAGTTGGAAGAGTGCTTAGCACAGCACCCACCAAATGCTTGATAGGTGTCACCTGCTTTCCTCCTTTGCTCCCTCCTTCCCCTGGAAGCTCTGGGCAGAGTGACATGAAGCTTAAGGAAAAGCCAGGCCAGGCTACCCCCCCTTCCCCGCTTCCCCCCCGCTCCCCCGCCAGGATTTGAAAGCTCTTCCTGGAGAATTTCTGCAGATAGTTGGAAAAGAGTGGAATCTCAGAGAGCCTCTGATTAGAATTCAGAGCAGCCACCGAGATAAGGCCCATAAACTCTTAATGCGTACTTCAGAGAGCACCCGGTGCTCCGTAATCTCTTTCCCAGAGAAGGGGATGTGTTGAGGGTATTGAGTAAGGCGGCTGGGAGTGTGGGGAGCACCGATGTCACCCTGTCAGCCAGAGCAGGCCTTGGTAGTTCTGAGCAGACATCCTGAGTTTGGATCCTGGTCTGTCACCCAGCCACTGTGTGAGTTGAATACATTCAGCCTCCCTGACCCTGTTTTCCCCAGCAGTCAGTAGAATGTAGGACGGTGCTGACCTCACAGGAAAGCCACAACACTTAGACCCACAGATGGACATAAAGTCCTATCGTCCCACACTTGGCATGTAGCAGCCATCCTACAGAGGTGGCCCCCAATCACGTTCATTCATGAAGCACTGATTTAGACAAGTTGTTATGGTAGGACTTGTCAGTGCCTTTAATGAGCACGGGTTCTCTTACAAGGTGACAGAACACACTAGGCTTCCTACTTGGACTCTACTTGTTTTCTGGGCCCTTCCTGTTCTTGTTGCAGAAACTCAACCCTAGTAACAAGTTTGCATAAACTCAGCACTAATTATATAGTGCTCTTGCTGACAGATGTGCAATGAGTTGCTCAGGTATGCAAGGGTCACCTCTATGTTCTAGAATCCAGATGTGAGATTACCAGGCCCCAGAGTGAACCACACCTTGATCTTCCCAGTGACCCTATGTATGACCTGACTTTGTGTGATTTTGTTTTGTTTGCCGGTCCTGGGGCTTGAACTCAAGGCCTGGACACTGTCCCTGAGCTTTTGTGCTCAAGGCTAGCACTCTACCACTTGAGCACAGTACCACTTCTGGCCTTTTGTGGTTCACTGGAGATAAGTCTCACTGACATTCTTGCTCAGACAGGCTTTGAACAGTGATCCTCAGATCTCAGCCTCCTGAGTAGCTAGGATTTCAGGAGTGAGCCACCAGTGCCTGGCAGAGCCACTGGTGCCCAGATGATTTTTTTTAAAAACAATTAAAAAATTTTTTTGTTGTTGTTTTTGGGCAGTGCTAGGGATTGAATTCAGAGATTCATGCTTGCTAGGCGGGCGCTGTACCACTTGAATCGGGCCTCTAAACCCTTTTTGCATTGATTATTCTCCAGGTAGGGTCTCATTTTATGCTTCCTACTTGTGCTACCCCTGGCTGACAGGCATGTGCCTGATACACAGTTGGCCCAGTGTATCTGCCCCACTACGTGTCCCAGCCACTCTTGTCCTATCTCTTGGGTCATAGGGCAGTCACCAATTCCCAACCTCAAGCTCACCTTTGGCCACAACCCATCTCCAGTAAAAAAAACAACAAAAACTGCTGAGCAAAATGATTCGGGAGGACAAGATCCAAAAGCATTAGATTGAACTGCATGAAATTATTGTTAGTCAATCTTTGGGCTCTTCAACCCTCAAATCCTATTAAAATTTCATTAAGTTCATACAGTTTACCCTGATATCTATCCTCATCTGGAGCAATGACCTCACGGGCTGCCACACTGTGCATCTCCCTGAAGCTCAGTGGGTAGGTCCATGGCTGGCCGACAACACTGTCTTTCCTGGGAGTCCACCATGGCAGGGACTCTGGTCTGAATCTTGCTTTTGTCCCTGTGGTCCAGGAGGACACATGGATAGCTCATCCTGCCTCCCAGAAAGGTTAGGATCCTGGCTTCGTGGGATATATGGCAGTTCCTGCATCCTTGCATCAGAGGGACCAAGCACCTAGGCGTGTCATGAGGTCCAAGAAGTGAACCTGCACAGATATGCAGGGAATGCACTGTGTTTTGCAAAGCGCCTGTCAAGAGCAGGAGGGGAGCGGTGAAGATCCAAGCTCAGCTGAGTTCCAGCAGCACCCTTCCATCCCCACCTTCTCTCAACACCTGCCCACCCCCTTCAGTAACATGTACCACAGAGGCTTCCAGTTCAAGTGGCTTCTGCCCGGTGCAAACAGACCTGTCACTCACTGCCCAGGCAACACCTGGTCCCTCCTTCAAGAACACTGGCAGGACATGCCCTCAAGAGGGACTAACCTGGTGTTACCCACCCCACCACACCCAACCCCACTGAGGAAAACAGTCCCTTTCTGGAGAAGCCCAGCAATGATGCGGAGCTCTACTTTGCACCCTTATGTGTGCTTTGCTGTGATAAGGCCAGTAGAGCAGCCATCCTTAAAAAAAATGTCACTTAATGAGCAGAGCCCCACAAGGCTGCTATGGCCCTTGCAGGGGGGTATCTGGCAGCATCGAAGGCTCCCTGGTCCCACTGCTTGGTCCTCTGCTTCCAGGTTTTCATTACAATCAGCTCACGGCCAACCTGACTGCAGATACAGATGGATATTAGCCAAGCTGTTCCCAGGGAATTTTAATTACCACGATAACAATCACTAATCACTGACATTTCCTAAATAGCTGTGGCTGGAGAAGGTGGTAATTGCCCAGGGTCCTGGTGGGGAAAAAAAAAAGAGGAGGCCTGGTAGAGCAGCCTCTGAAGATGCTGAGAGAAGCTAAGGCCCCCTCCCCGTTCCCCCGCCCCCCCCGCCCCCCCCCCCCCGCCTTCCTGATGTCCACTGCTCTGTCCCTCTGGCTGTGATCCTTGGCTCCCATCATTCATGCACCCGGTGTGTCTCAGTAAAGTGTCTTCACACTCAGATGTCTGTTCACTCCCTTCCTTCTCAACAGGTCAGAGCAGGGGGACAGTGTACTTTGCTATTCCTACACCTGTCAACGCCCCTCACCTGGTCTCCACTGGGCAGCCGCTGCCCCTGGGAAGGCTCCCATGCCACCTTGTTAAGGATTGGGGCCCTCTGCCTTGCTCCTGGAGGCCACCTCTGGGGCTGGAGTGCAGACTCATCATCTTCTCTAGGATCTGGGTGCTGGGGACACAGTGAGAGCCTACAAAGCTGCTGGGTAACAACTAAATAAACAGATAAGGCACAGTACAGGAACCATCTTCAGGAGACAGAACGTAGGACTTTTCTCCAGGGAGATCACATTCTGTCTGCTGTACAAGCTCCAGGCTGATCAAGCCTTGAAAACATGGGAAATGGCCAATGTTGGGAGCAGTTCTCTCCTTTACACCATGGTCACTTTAAGGGCCTCTATAGGAGTCAACCCAATGTGTCAGGAGAGGCAGTTTGTCGCCTGAATGCATGAGAGTGCACACATAACTGCCTGTCACACACACACACACACACACACACACACACACACACACACACACAGAGCTACCAGGCAAGCAGAACTTTGGAGTATAGCTAACAAGGCCCCACTTCCCTGCCTCCTGCCAGCCTCAGTCTCCCATCCCGTCCTCCGCATGAGCTAGATTCAGTGGTTCTCCCTCTCTTGACTACACCAAGATCTCTCTTGTCTCTTTGTAGATCCCATTCTTCCTCCCTCCCCTAGCTCTTACTCCATCTCTGGGAAATT